AATGAACCGTATTAACATTGAGGGCGCTAATTCCTGAACATTCGACTAATAAGTACAAACAGAAATCTTCACACTAAAACTAGACTAGCCCCGTATTTACTGTGGGCCCGTAGTCAACAATAGACTAGCCGCATAGACAACGATAGACTAGCCCCGTAGACAACGACGATAGACTAGCCACGTAGACAACGATAGACTAGCCACGTAGACAACAAAGTAAAGGTTCTACAGGTACACATAGCCCATAGTCATATGTTTTCTAAAGGTCAAAATAATGAGAAAATATTTAACTAGTGACCTAAAATTTTAACAAATGAAACCGAACCAAATATACTGATAATACAAATAGACTCAATAGAGTACTTGTTGTAGAGGTGACAATCCGCCATTGCAAATCCGACCGGAAATCTAAAAATCGGTTATTCTAGAATCGTATTGAGTGAAACAGTTTTACTAATAAGCAAGGCATCCCTTGTAAAATACTGTCTTGAAAATAAAAAGAACTTATATTCGTCGTCACGTGAGATTGCTTCTTGACGCTTACTATAAACTTAAAGGGGAGCAGAGGTCTGGTTTATGACACTCTGTACATGCAATTTGAGATCTATGAATGAATTCTGTCGATAAAAACAAGTTGTATATGCTGCGAAATGCCCTAAAAATCGGATATAAAACGGGCTGTGAAGCAGACGACAAACGTCCGCTTTGCCTGGCGTCATTTCGCCTCTAGAGGGCCAGTCAATTATGTCACCAGTGAACACTGATAATTGAACCCATTCATGTCAGTAAACGTAGTCCCCTTCACTGTGACAATAACATGGCAAATAGCTGAAATCAACAAAATCACCAGCTTAATATGTTGAAAAAAAATCAGATTCGGCATAAAACGACGACAAGTACGATCTGGTTAAGGCTCTAGTAATTGAACACGTAGTTTAGGTTTGTATATAATTTATGAAGAAATCAGTTTACTTGACAAGTTGTTATTCCTATGGGACATCGCTCTGTGGAATCCATTCACAATAGACCAGTGAATACGTCTTAGGCGCTTTATAAAACACTTACTACAAGACCATCAGATTTACATCCTATTTATGATTTGGCATATAATTGGAATACATGCTTCTAATGAGATGCACGAGTATACACACAGATAATTCTTCTTTGAGAAAAATATTTGAATCATAAATTTAGTAATAAATTTTACATATATTACAATTACTGTATTAAGGTAGAAGCTTACTCATAAATTGAAATATCCAGAATTCATTCATTTTGTAATAATTTACTCCAAGGCAATACAAGAATATTGACTTAAAAAAAAGTTGGGGGTCACCAGCCTTATTTTCGAGAAATTGATGGTTGTAATTCAGTGGTAAGTCGCCCATTTGATACTATTATAATGCTTTTACCACTGGTTCCTATGGCAGAGATATTATGCAATATCTTAAAATCTAGCCTGGCTGAAAAATTATATATTGTTAATGATAAAGTACTTTTTTGTTGTTGTGAATTATTAAAAAAAATCTGGGTTTTAAAAAGTGTCAAAAAATGCAATTTTTTCTACGGAAATGTAAAAATAGCGATTTTCAATAAATATTAGGACACGTTTCTCAAAACGCTTAACTGCAACACACAAAATAATGCTATTCGATTGTGCAATGGGACATTAGCTTCATGATTGTACATACTAAATTAATAAACATTGTCATGCGAATTGTGACCAATTTTGTCAAAAATGATGTAGTAGGATTCTACCTTGAAGAATAACTTTAACGTCATTCTGAATTTAGATTATACTGACGATCAACATTGAAAATAAATGTTCATTGTGTGTTCACGTTGACTGCATTAGCAACAATTGCATTTGTAAATAAGCGGGGGATCGTCACCTGCGCACGCGCGAGCGACGATAACAACACACGCTAAAAACGCAAAGGCTCATGGACGCACAAACAACGTGACGGCACGATATGGTCTTTTGCCGCATGTGCAGGTGACGAATCCCCCGCTTTAAGACGGATATAGTAGGTTCGTGGCCACTCTAAAACTTAAAAATATGTTTTTAATTATTTTGTTTGGTATATGTATTATTATTGGTGTATGTATTATATTATTTGGTTTGGTATAGACAGTCTTGACCTTGGACTGTAAAAAATCAGAGCTCTACCACAAGTACAACATACTAACATATTTTTCGAACAAGCTATATACTTTGCAAGGCTGTATATAAATAATGAAAAGAATAATTTGGTTTTTAATAAAAGATTATGCCATAATCTGTATGCAATGTACTGTAAATAACATATTTCAGAGCAGTAGTCGGTCTGTTTGTCACGTGACAATTATAGGCATTATATTAAAAGTGTATGTATATTTTGCACTTGGTGAATGATTATGCAAATCATTTTACAGTTAGTGTTGTGTGCTGCCCTCAACGTCAAGAGTCAATGCGGGTGAAGCTGAATACTTGTTCGGCATTTCCTGTACAGACTATTATCTATTATGATCGTATAAAGTAATAACGTTGCTTTTATACTGCGTGAAATATTGTTTGTGTGATGGAATAGTACGTGCAAGAAATGCAAAGCGCATCCACACAAGTAACTAAATAACAAACAACTAGACTTATTAAACTAAAACAAATTTCAATGTAATATACTAGTAATATATAAAAAATCAAAACTAGTTGAAGTAAACATCCTATATCTTGTATTTGTCCAACAATCAATGTGATTGCGTCTTTCCTTGTAACCGTATAGAACTAACGATAAAAGTTAATCTATCAGTATAATTAAACACGATTTTTGTGTGTTGCCAGGGTCATGCGGTTACCATAGCTACAACGTTAACATTATCTTACAGCTTGGATGAATACATTCCATTTATGAACTAAAGAAACCAATTATCAAAGCTCAAAAATCATGTGCGAACGGTGGTTTAATAACCATACATTTCATTTTATTTGCATAAAACAAAATCATATAGCAAAATTCAAGGAAGTTAGGTGCAATATATTTTCCCAGGAAAATTTTAGGTTCAACATTTTACTTACTAGTATTTTTCAATAATTTGTTTGGTAATTTTGGACCAGGTTTTGAACCAAAATTTTCATAACATATGAACAAAATTGTGTTGGTTTAAAATGTGGTAATGGACGGGGGGGGGGTTAAAGAGAAAATGTGGGTACTACTGACTATTTTTTAGAATGTTTAAATAATTTAAAATTACATTTGACAATCACGGGAAAGTATGATTTATCAAAAAATAGAAAATCAGGAAAACATATAAAATCAGGATCTTGTTGCTATATGCCAAAACCAGAGCCCCATAACTTGCACCTCAATGGCAACGGAAATACTAATAATACGGACATCATTTTATCATCCTGTGTCAATAAATTCGCTCGAAAATGTATTCAATTATGCCTAGAATGTAATTTGATAATTTTAAACGGACTTACTATCGGCGATCTGATGGGAGCACTCAAATGTTTTACCCCCTAGGTGCTGTAACTGCGATGATTTTTGATTCATCTGTAAGTCACTTCATTATTCTGTATAAAGTATTTTGAATTTATCATATCTTATATTATTTTGATATTTACGGAAAAAATACTTTTTTTCACAATTAACAGTTAATCAATCATCCAGATACATACAACCTAAATTGTATTGTTGTTTAAACATCCATAATTCACTTTTGAACCAACCGGTTTGTTTTTGCCCTTAGTCACTCGATGCGTCTGTTAAGTTTAAAAAAAAAAGTTTACCCGTAACTCGAAGTTTGATTAACTGTTAATGGAACACCGAGTTATAATTAGGGCGTGGTTTTGCAAAAGCACATAGTTTCTAACATGTAGTCGTGGTGACTTTTTGTAACTCGGATGTTTCATTAACTTGATTTTTGTAGTTCGATTTCCCGTAACTCGAACAATTCAGCATGTGTTATGGTTTTCATCGTAAAGAATACTTATCTTGAAAAATACCCCAAAATCTATATAGTAATTTCTTCAAATTAAAAAAAAAACAATTAAAAACATTTAAATAAAAAAAGGAAATGATAGCTAATAAACTAAAGAATCTTGAAAATTCAAAAGGTATCACTGTAGTTTGTTGGAAGATATTGAGCGAAGTGAATGAGGACACTTCATCTAAAACTGACATTCATTCAATTGGTCTAAGTGATTGGTTTTCATATTTTGATAAAATATAAAAATCAAATGTTTCGAATGACAATATTAAAGATGCAAATGTTAACCTAGATTAAGAAAACACCATTGTGATAATAATGAATTGGACAGACCATTAGGACAAATTGAACTCATGAATGCTATAAAATGAAGAAATGTATAACATGAAGTATGCTACTAGTATTGAAAAGGTCCATAGTACACGATTTCTTTTCAAACGTGGCGCCATCCGACTATTTTTTGTGGTTTAATGATTTGATTCATTTTATTTAAAGCTCGTTTACAATCTCTTTATACTTGTGTTCAGAGTTCAAAATGTTATAATTAGAATTCTACGAACTCATTGGCAAATTCATATCATAGAGTCACATCGAGTATTACCACTAGGCACATCACAAAGAATTATATAATTTATCTTCACCTTTACGATATCAATAATTTAAGATGTTCTACTCTCACCAGACTTTGTTAATAACATTCAAATATCTTCGCAGTGTGTTATGAGTGTCATCAGAATGCACGTGGTTTCAACTGTACGCTAGTCTTTACTTCCAGTGACGTATATGGGAGCAAATTACACCAGACCCCGGTTGTGTGTTGACTCCTGAATGTAGAACACAGCCAATATATTTACAAAATAAAGCTGCTTTTCTTAACTAGCAAGATTCAATTGTTCCAATCGCTTGACTTCGGTACCTCACTACTCGTAACAATCAGCTAATTAACATAACAATCTAACTACCTTGTCGAGACAGCCAATGGCGGCAAACGTCGTCGCCTTGGCTACCTGAATGTTTAGGGTTACACGCTGCCATTGTGGAATTAGCGTGGTGTGTTGGCTGTGAACACATCGTAGCCCGCCGCTACAAATAAGCACCCACACACAACGAGGGTATAGCGATCCTGGCTATGTAGCGTTCTGTCTCTGGGGTACAAGTTCAACAAAACATGGCAGCCACAGACTCTCTATCACTGTCCCATTTCTACCGAGACACGACGGGCCTCGATTCCTTATCAAGGAATTACCAGTCTAGTGAACTTTTTACACCGTATTCACTACCGCAACGACCCACAGTGTCGGAACTCAGGTAAGACAACCACGTACATTGAACACCGCATAACCCCAATGGCGGTCTCGACCAACTATTAAGTCGGCTATAAATGTTGGCGTATCATATTCATGTGTCGATCAGAGAAAACGTCTATACATTGTTATCCTCTGTCTGAACTGTAACATGTCTTTATTTTGCGAATAAACAAGCAAACAGGTATGGCGAGTTAGCAAAGAAAGAAAAAAAGATGGCAACCGGGCCTTGACTGTGAATGTCATTTGTAGATGTATGTTTCACCGCGGGGCAGTGGCGTATTTCATCACAGTGGTCCACACATGGGAATATCTTGCATTGTATTGACATCACTTATGACTCATGAATTTATGTTACGCATAAAAATAATTTATTAATATTCATATCTAATAGAGCGTGTTTAAATACTTGTATAGCTGCGTCTATGGGCGCTGTTATAGTCCCACGAGTACCTCTCGTCGATCTACTCGACAGACCCAATAATCTCGTGTCAATACACGAATGTAGACATCAAATACACTACATATTAATTGTATACTTATAATAAATATAAAAATAACACTGTTGATTGTGAAATCGTCTCGTGTTTCCATGCATCGTCTACTAGGGCTCAGTTTTGTAGCACCACGCATGTCTGAACACTATCGCGCCTCCTAGATACTGTGTTGGATGTGTTTATATCTGTATCAATGAATAAACACACGATAATATTGAACTAGATCGGTACACATTGGACTTGAAGGTGCACGCAAGCATGTCTATTTTTATGTTGCACGGTGACGATTTCTGGTCGATTCACATCGATGGAGACGATGTTTGTAAGCAGCAACAAGCGATCGATTCTCTGTGAGGTACGATAAAATATTCACTATACAGACTTCCAAATTTGAAGACGGAGTAATCAATAAAGTAATCATGGCACATTGTAGCAATTATAAGCATACATTGACTAATCGATATAGACGAAGTTACCTACAATTCATTAAAATAAGTGCGGCCCCTGTTTTTAAAAACATCGTAATTTCCATAAAAGTTTATCATTGCGCCGCACAATTGAGCGTTGCCCGAGATGCCAGAATGAATCGCACTGTTCCCTCCCACCCGCCGCGGAGCTCTTTAATTAACACTAAAAGAACCCGTATTGTATTGTTTCCAACAAACAGGTTGTTTTATTCACGCACGTATGCGATTTACATTACTTTTGTAAAGACCGGTTAGAAGCAGGTACTGTAGAAAGCTTAATTATTGGCTGGGTTTTTAGTGTAAAATAAATACATTAAATTAAAGCCCAGTGAATATAAAAGTTTAACACAGAACGTAAAACACGGTAGACATCTTTGCAACCCAGTGAATATTTTCCCTGCATTTTTAAAATCGTCTAATATGAGTATGCCGTAAACCGATATCGTGTTTGGTGACATGAAAAACTGCTTATAATAGTGGTCAATTCTGACAGAGTCAATGCCTGTATAACTGTGGCACACTACAATGTAGGTTGTCTATGACTCGTGACCTCGATTTTAACACGTGATTTATTATAACGGCTCGTGTTGTCAGGTCCGTAATTATTATTCAAACATACCCGTGTCAGTGGGTTGGTATAGAGTGGTTAGTGGCCGGTAGGTTTGTAGTTGTATCAGAACGATTAAAACATTCAACGAGTCTATGACATCACACTGACTCGGACGTAATAAGTGATACCTACATTGAAAGCTGGCAAACTTAATGTGCTGTAATAACTTGTGTTTCCTGTTTACACAACATTGCGAATGTTACTATCTTGTGACTTGTTTGCATTGCCAGTATGCAGACTACTGTAAAATAATTTATTTTAGCTGGAATTAAATTTTTCTGAAAAGACTTTTTGGGTGTTTTGTATGGAATTTATTTTCACAGATTTTTGACAAGTTGAATGTAAAATATTGGAAAAAAAGGTATATTCGCTGGATTTTATTTCCACCTTCAGCGAAAACAGTGATAATTAATTCCAAACGTGAATAAAGTATTTAACAATACTGCGATAAATTCTGGCACAATGATACAATCTTACACATTATTTAAATTACTATATAATAACATGTTACCGAATCAACATCGATGAAAATAAAACAGTCTGAATTGAAACCAGTTGGAAACGATAATGTACATAGATACACGTCAGTATACATTCAGACATTCAACACAAGTCTGAATAATTCAGTCTTTCATTATTAGTTTGTATTGACCCCATACACTCCAGCAACAACTAACGACTTCAGTTAGATCTTCAAATTACTTGAGTTGACACGTCTGACTGCAGTGTACATGCTATGAGTATAGGCTGTGCCACATTGTGCGTAACTATTAAATATCATGTTACGTAATTACTATTATATGTGCAATAAGATCGTTACATGTGATGACATCACCTAAAGTCAAAATAAACAGAAATCGTAAAATGCTATCGGAATCACCCAAGTTATTGGAATAGTTTATCGACAAACAATCACCGTAGTGTTTTGTTTTTAGAGGCAGAGGCGAGGCCTAATTAATCAATCCTGATGTATTTGTGGATTGAAAAAAAAAACTACAATTCAGAACATATTAGGAATAAAACCAAATAGACCCGGAAAAAGTCCGATAAAACGATTCGTCATCACATATTGGTGACTAGACCGGCAATCAAAATGGCGGCGGCGGTGGCTCTGTTACGTGTCGGGCAATGTGCACTATGGCAACCATCAGCATTTTGTTCGGGGACTGACTTCAATGATACTGCGCGTGCACGTGGTTTCGACCTCAAATAAACCCCTATTTCGCATAAATACACCTCTAAATACCAAATTATCGGTAAATAAAACGTGCGTTGTAAAGGAATTAAGACGTCATTGTAAAGTTAGAGTCAAATAAAACAGACATTGTCTCGTTATCATAGCTAAAATAATAATCTATTTTTATTAATTTCCGCCGCTTTCACCAAGCACTAAGCATACATGATTTGATATTGTTAAGCTGGCGGCGAGTCGGCACAGTGTCGGAGTTTGTTGCCGGGGCCATCAGGTTGTGCCTTATTACTAGCTGGATATTCAAAACCTTTTCTGTTATTGAGAGACAAAAAAAAATTCAAATAACGCCTGACAAGAATTGAATTTTCCACCTGGCTGCTCGCCATACTTCTCGTGCAGTTTATACAAGCCACACCTTCCCTTAGCAACAGCTAAATGTCAAGTAAGGTCACGGGACGTTTCGACAAGTGCAGTTAGATTAGATTGATGGTCACCGCTAAGTGGCAGGCATTAATAATGCATTATTCTATAATTCATATTTACTGATAATAAAAACCTATTGTGTACTGATGAGGATTATACTGTTTATACTCCCACACGTTCAAGTGAGTTTAAGGATTATTTCCATAGCAACACAATCGATGATATATGATAACACGAGGAACAAGTACATAGTCAACAATATCGAGTATATCACTAATACATCACCGTATATACAATGTATTTAAATATAAAAAGTAGTGAAAAGGAAACCCACTTTTTCATGTATAACAATGTATTTTAATTATTAAACTTATTTTTTATTTTCTTATGTTTGAATTTAAATTCGGTTATAATAGTATTATTTATGTAGGTTTCGTAGCAAAAAACAGTAAGATCATACGAGAATCATATATGTGACAGGAACATGGGGGTACTGTAAAAGGGTTAATTATTCACTGGGTTTTAATTTTGCTTATTTCGCTGACTGGAAAATGCGCTAAATTAAAACCCAGCGAATATGTAAAATTTAGCATAGAACACATTATCTAAATGATAAAACAGTGAATTTAAAACCCACTGAATATGCCTGAAATGGTAAATCAGTTAAATTTTAACCCAGTGAAAATTTGTCATTATACAGTACCTTTACCCTCTCATAGTAAAATAAATACACGAACTGAGTGGCTTTTAAATAAACTACAACCCTTCAACTTGAAGAGAAAACTAGAATTACGATGCGAAGGGTGGGTACAGAACCGTTCTGAAGAGAGTGTTATATATATATACATTGTATGACTGAAAAACTGTAAAGTTGATAGAACAATTATTTCTATCAAGTTGGTTGTTGCCATGGAGATGTTCTTGTTGGTAAGTGCCAGCTCGTGAATGAGTACAGTGTACAATTGACATAATAAGCAGCACATAGTGTACGAGCTCAATGGTTTACGTGAGGTAAATATGTCCTACTAACGAATTGAGAACAATACAACTGTCGTGATTGAAATGAGACATAACACACCTAGCCAAGCTAGCCTACCATTCCTTTCCGGCCAAATTGTCGGTGCAAATATTTTCGCTTTTTCTATATTTTTGTCAAGTTTCGCTGTCAATTTTAGACCGAACATGCAGGATTTTATCTGGCTTACAACTTGGTTCTAAAAAATTCACGAATTGAACAATTTGTTTAAAATTTGTGAACAAAGCAGATATGATAAACTAGATTGTCAAAGTTGGGACTTCTTTTTTGTTTTACTAAAAAAAAAATAATTGTTAATTTAGCATTTTTAGCGTGATCACTAAAACTAGCGTGACCGCGTAAGAAATCCCGACTTTGTCAGTCTAGACATAAATCTAAGGAGCAGTTACCGAAGTTAACAAGTTACTTTGAATATTTAGTGACTTTGACACTTAAAATTACATGTATTCACTGATATAAGGCGAGAATTGAAAGTTTTAAGCAACGGGGGAGGGGTGTAAACTTATATCAACATTATTGTCTGTTGATTGGTTGATATGGTTGTGGACATAATAAATACAAAATGGCGGCAGTTGGTTACTGGTACTGGGTGAATACGTCTTGTCTTTATAGTTTAAATGCATATTATGCATTTACGCTCAGACTAGTATTGTATTACTAGTATTGTATTACTAGTATTGTATTACTAGTATTGTATTACTAGTATTGTATTACTAGTCTGAGATTTACGTAACAGTAATCCATAAACCATTGCTTCAAGACATGTACTGTGATAATAG